ATAGTCAGTGATATGATGAAGTACACATCTAGGCTGGGAAAATAACAATGCATTTAATATGAAAATAAATAAGTTACATGGAGTGACAACGCCCGCATGGCCGAGCCATGTCATACTGACTCATTGTTCCCGCCTCCACCATCCCTGACCTCCTCTGGGTGTTAAATGTCGAATGTAAATATTCCCGGTTATCGTATGCTCGTCATGATCGATCGTGTGGTTGAGAAAGAGTACCACTACAGAGTTACCTAGGTTGTACACATAGTCTGAAACATGTCTCAGATGGACCAATTTGCATTTTGTAGTGTTGAAAGTAAGTCCATTGTTATCTACCAAACTGTAAAGTCGATTCAGATACTCCCCTAATGCCGGCTTATCATCTTGGTTGCAAACTTCCATTGGAAGCTTCACAACGTTAGCGACAAGTAATAAGTCAGACGATACTTCCTGAGGAAGGTCACTCATATAAGGTAAAGGGAGAAGAGGTCCCGGTAGTGAACCCCGAGGAATCTCACAATGATATTCTGTTTCCTGAGAAAAGTGGAAGCTTACCCTGACCCTGAAAGTTGATTATTTAGACATGAAGTAAACCAATCTATCAGTGGTGACTTGATACCCAGCCGTTCAAGCTTATGGATAAGACATACATGATTGACCCTACCAAAAGCTCTTGAGAAATCAAGACATATGACATCAACTTTCCTCTTGCTATCAAAGATGGTTGTCAATTGGTTTGTAACAGCTTAGGTCGATTGGTTTAGAGTTGACCTCAAGCAACTAAGCATATGTCAAAACAGCATAGTTCACATATTCATTCACTTCTTTATTTTGTATAGGCGTTATATTTCTAATTATCTTATGTTGAATGTTGGGAGGTTTTGTTTGTCTGAACAAGGAATCCCATGCTCTACTGTGACTGCACGAAGATCAAAATAAAGACCTATTCCCTACTAGTCTGGTTTCTCCTATCAATAACACGAGGGTAACGTACAGGCACGAAACTGGTGAGCCCGACGTTCACCGTGGTCAACAGATTGATTATACAGGAGTGATCCTTATTGAGACTGTGCAAAGTCTGTGGTCTCATAGACCGTTGCATATCTGGGACTCCGTAATTTTCGAGGGTATTGAGAGAAGTGCAATCGACAGATAGCTTGAATGTTTATGGTGTGGCGGTAAACAAATCCCAAAAGTCAGTAGCTCTGTGAGCCTTGGACATTTGACGCAGACCGAACTAGTTTTAATGCACTCACCTATCTGAAGGCACTCGGTCACGCATCCGCACCAGATCACGAGTAGGGACGCCGTGCTTCACACCTCCTACGACCGCTAACCAGACTAGATTAATCACTTCTTGATATATCGATACCTACCAAATATGTCGTCGAACCTTTTCGCTTTTGACTTGCGATTTCACTGGGTTGACACGTTTGGATTATAAAAGGTGTTACTCATTAAGGTGTTGTGGCATCTTTGGTAGCACTAGCCTCTTGTTGAAATTCGCGTAATGTACACCAGCTTCCAATTTTCTGGTACCGTACCTCGGTTTAGAGAATGTGCGAACATCACCCTTAATTGTTTTGCCAAGATTGGAGACGCTCCCCTCGGTATAGCAGAATGAACTATATCTGGGCCAGGAGAAGCGTCCTTGTTTGGATGCCGCAGTTTTCGATACACTAAGTGAGCGCTCAGCCTTAATTTTGAGACTGCCGTTGAGTTGCAGGTAAAGCTCTCGTCGATGTAGTTTGTATGTGACGGTCGAAATGTGTTGAAACTACTGTTCTGCTAGAAGTTCGGGAGTATCACTGTAGTTATTGGTTGAGACCTCAGGACCTAACAACCAGAGAACTTCGCTTTTAGAAAAGAGACCTCCAATCAACTGCTCATTAGGATGGAAAATAGCTGAGGAAAGTGGAAGAAAAATGGTACACCTAATGATAACAGATGCGCACTACGGAATCCACAAATACCAACACGTCATAGAGGAACAAAAGATGAAGCTACAGAGGACACTCACGTCAGAACATTTAGAAATCTTGACAACAGCCATCGAGATATCATGTAAACGACACAGAGAACAAAGAAGAAATACCCTAAAGAAAAATCTAATCAACATCTCAAAAGCACCCAAGGAAGAAAACACAAACAACTGCCTGATCAATCTATCAAAACAACCACTAACAAACACGGAAGAACGCCTACTCCAAAGAGGATTAAACTACAGCACAAGCGACGCCTCAAAACTAGAATTCTTCGCAGCGCTAGAGTCATCACTAAAAACTTCTGGATTCAGTGAGGAAACACAACAAGAAATAAGGCAAACTATAGTGCCGCTAACGCAACAGGTGAATGAAAACAACCAACTGACCCCACAAGAACAAAAAGCCTTGAAGGAACTTAGAACTATAAAGGATATTGTCATAGTTCCAGCGGACAAAGGACGCACAACAGTAGTTATGGACAAGGAGGAATACCTCAAAAAAGCCGAACAACTACTTCAAGATAAGAACACATACAAACGGACAGATTTAAATCCTGTCAAAAAAATTGAACAACAGAATCTCAAAGACATTAAACAAGCTAGTCAAAGCAGGAGAAACAACAAAACAAAATCAATGGAGAATGAAATCCAATGGACCAGTACTCCCCATATTCGACGGCAGACCAAAAATACACAAACCAAACATTTCACTACGTCCAATTGTAGCACTGCCCGGAACGCTAACATACAATTTATCAAAAGAAATTTCACGAATACTGAAAAATTTAGTCGATTCATCCAAACACTCCATCAAATCCCCTACACAATTCCTGGACCAAATTACGGACATTCAAATCAACAACGACGAACTAATGATATCCTTCGATGTAACAGCATTATTCACCTCAATCGAACCAAGGTTAGCAAAAGAAACTATATCCATGCTCCTAGCCAACGATACAAATCTCACAAAGTACACAAAGCTTCGAAGTCAAAGTCTACTAGAACTCATCGACTTATGCCTAACAACATATTTTCAATTCAACAACGAAATCTACGAACAAACGAAAGGGACACCAATGGGGTCACCAATATCAGGACTGATCGCAGAAGCAGTGATGCATAGACTAGAAGCCGCGTTATTATCAGTGATCAAGCCAAAAATTTGGATTCGCTATGTAGACGACACATTCGTTATCGTCAAAAAGGATGAGCTAGAAAACACTTACAAACTGATCAACAACGTCTTCGATGACATCAAGTTCACAATAGAACAGGAAGCAAACAACAAACTATCATTCTTGGATATATTAATCACTAGAACTGACACAGGAAAACTAGAAACTCAAGTATATGGGAAACCGACCCACACAGATCAAATTCTGAACTACAATAGCAACAACCCAAGAGCACATAAAATCAACTGCGTACAGACTTGATTCAAGAGGGCGAGGACACACTGCACCACTCTGGCAGCACGAAGGAAGGAAGAGAAATACCTAAAAGAAGTATTTCAAAAGAATGGCTACCCAATCAACGTCATCAAAAAATACCAACCACATGCAGCATCAGAGCACAAATCAAGCACAGAAATCAACAAACGGATCACCCTACCATACATAAATGGCATATGAAAAACCGCAAAAAGACTGCTAAAAACCTTCGGGATAGGTGCGGCACACAAACCGACAAAATCACTACAGTCAATCCTATGCAAACCAAAGGACGAAATAACAAAAGAAGATAAATCGAACATCATCTACAAAATAAATTGTGTCAACTGCGACAAACACTACATCGGACAAAGCGGACGCCCTCTTCACCTGCGCCTACATGAACATCAATTAGCAGTCAAACGGCATGATATCTCCTCACTTATATCAATACACGTGGACAACTGCGGACACACATTCGATTGGAAAAATGTGGAAATCGTGAACAGAGGAAATTCTAAAAGCACAAGAGAATTTTTAGAAGCCTGGCACTCAGGTCAATCAGCAATCAACAAACATATTGAAATCGATCCGATTTATCAACCAATCAGGAAACTTATGCACAAATATAGGAACAAGAATCAAACCAATAGGAGACAAAACCAAGACAAAAAAGTAAACAATGACAAATTTAAGGTCAATAAGAACTAATCAACATCGAGGTGCACAGAACAAGCTGTGAAACGCATATGGAGAAATTCGAACACTTCACTTCTATCTGAAGTTTGTGCTGATGATGTCGTTCAGAAGAACGATGTAAGCTCCACGACCAAGCCATCCAGCTCAGAGAACAAAACTCCATCAAAATCATCCACCTGAGCTACTAATCTTCTCCACCATCTCAGTAAGAAATCCCATTAAGCGTCCAGGCTATTATTATTACTATTATTAAGTTGAGGATGCACTTCTCAGACCACGTGCTGTAGATCGTTCTGTAAATCCGGCACATCTCAAACTTTCGAATTCGAATGCCTGTTGTTAGTGTGATGTTTTAGCTCAGGTTTACTGGTAAGATTGAAGGCTATGATGACGTGATCACTTCTCAATGGAGTCAGAATGGAGAGGTTGTCAACGAGGAATTCTCTGTTCTTAAGTGATCATTCTAAGTATGAAGGCGTCTGACTATTTGTTCATTGGGTTACTCACTTGACATTTTCGAATAATCCCAAATCTTCAATGAAGTTGAAGAACTGAGCTTCAGTAGAGCTATCACTTCCGATGTACGTACGCTCGAAGAAATTGACTTAATGAGGATTGAAGTGTCCTAAAATGGGGATATGAGTGTATCCGAAATGAATAGAGTGGGATAATCTCTCCAGAGTACGTTTGTCGTACTCAGTGTCAGCAATAGACCTCCTAGACACTTCGAGGTGTTGGACAAACTCACTGAAAATGTATGCAATGCTCGAGTTTTGATCAAAAAAATACTAGACAGGACGTCATTAATCAAACCTTAGTCTTTTATACTAACTGCTTTGAAAGGTTTGACGACTAAAATTGAACACAAAACATGTTTGTTTGTTTATATGACTTTCTCCGCCTATTTATTTTCGTACGACCCTGGGCGACTAGTAGAGCGTGGTTGGTGGTGCGTGCGACTTCAAGGTAAGGTGTTGGTAGCCGGTGGCATGTATTTCATGATGTTTTCCAGTTCTGCTATTGATGCTTATGAAACGAACCCTTTATCCCTGATTGTCTATCGTTACACAGTGTTTTATCTCATTGTAGGGTTTAAGAAAATGATAACCGTACGGGCTACGTTTCCTTCAGTCAAATATGTAGTGGAAAGAGTTTCCAATTACTCGTAAGAATCTTCAGTGAATGATGAGGAAAAGACTGGCTGGATTAACGCATCTCGTAAGTACTCTATATGTATTAAAATGATGATAACGTTTCTACTGGACTCGTGTCCGCACACGCCCCTATCTGAAGCTTGTTCCCTAACCTGAAATCTTTAATTAACCTTAGGTAGTTGCTTGGTCCTCGCACGTACCAAATGGTTGATGGTCAACCTTCGCGAGATTAGGTAAGCTTTAATAGTATTAATGATGTCGCATAGTTCATATGATAAACATGAGTCGATATAACTTCACTGATAGTTACTTGGACTACTAATGCGTCTTTTCACTTTTCAGAACACCGTCCGCTGTGATCGTCCCGAAAGACATCAGAGGGGTGCAAAAAAACGGTAAGATATCGCTGAGTTCTTCAGTATATCAAATGATGTTCCGTGTTTCAATTGATTTTATGATTTCAACCTCTACTGACAATCTCACTTATCAAGTCTTTCTGTTTCCAGATAAGGACTTGAGAACTGTCGACTCAATCGTCTGAGGTGAGTAAATGAAATGATGTGACACCTCTTGAATGATTTATGATTACATTCCTCGTCTGATTTTGCAAATACCTGTCAGGACTAAGTGTGTTATGTTCTCATTTCAGGTTAAAGAAAAGTCCGGGGACGTCCATTTTCGACGAGTCATCATGTACCTTTGGTTTGTGTGATAAATATGATCAACCATTTTGATTTCGTTCTTGCTTAGTCACTGTGGAGGCAGGGTTTTCAACTTCCTAATTTCTTAATGCTTGTTAGAGATGGTCGAGTGTGCAAACAGATCTGAGCTTAGTTCATTTGAGTAATCGGCGCAAGTGGCCTGTGTTGTGGGATGAACCAACCAAGATCACTTATCCATACTTCAGGAGGGTAGCCTTCAGCGCAACATGCTTGTGACCTATTCCCTCTGCCGAGTCGATAGGATGTAGGTGTGCACAAAGGGTGATGCTTGTTAGTCACCACCTACCCCAACTCTCAGCTTCTTTGCGTACTCCCAATGTTACACTGTTGGGTAACGGGTTCTTCTCGGCCAACAAGTTGTTTGATGAGGTTTCTCCATAGTCGGTTGTTGCGATCTTCGGCTTTGTTGAGTATGGAAATGCGATGTAGTGTGATTCGCCGGTTGAGCACAGGTTTTCGTCGAGCCGCTTCTGTTGTGTAGGACGCCTGGCGACTAAGTCTTGCTATCGAGGTTCCCAGTGGTCATTTCATTTCGACGACCCCTCAGTAGTGCCTTGGCGTGGTCATTGTCTCGGGATATGCAAGCGGCGCAGGTCTGTCCAGGTAACACGAGATGAGCCGAGGGTTTTCGTGGACATTGATTGTGTGGAATATGGGGAGCCAGTAAGAGTGTGAGTGTAACCCGGGTCGTGTTAAGGTTCACAGTGTGCCCCGGTTGATGTTAACTGAAAGCCATATAATTAGTCTGTAGCTGGTTGCATCTGAGATTGCGATTTGAGTGCAGCTAGATCCAAGTATTGGTCCAGAGTTGTGTGTTGTTGCGCATAATTGAATTGGCATTCTTAGGTGGAGTATGTGATGTGCTAGTCTAGGCCGTAGCCATGATACCAATCGTGATCCTTCTGAAATTACTTGCTTGCAATCCCGTAATATATCCCAGGGTGCTTATTATCCCTGTAGGCAAAGCGTTAGGTAATATGAGATATCAATCTAGAGTTGGTGGTTCAGGTAGCTTGCGATTAATTTTGTTGAAACAGCAGGAAATTACAATCAATGGATAATAGGCCAGGTACAGTAGTAAGCGTAGTTACGATTGATAAGAATATTAATGTTGAAGATAACCTAGACAAAGAACCAACTAAGGAAAGTAGTGCATTGTTAGGAGCAGTTAAACATGAAACAGTCAAATCGAAATAAGATTATCGTGTGGACATCAACAGCAGCTAAGCATTAATAGTAGGTAAAATAATTTGGTTGTAACTGTATATCACTTGAAGAATAGGAGATTTTCCTGCTGTCCGTACAAGTTACTTCAGAAATGCTTGTTACCAATAACCTGAGAAGCGACTAAGCGCTTGTCACGAAACCGGGTCCTGGGCTTAGTCCTTGTTGAGGTTGTGCATGTGAACTGCTGAGGTGTCCCATACCACGATGAAACAGTTGGTCGGCGCTCTTTGGCTTCTAATGGTTGAGTACCTGAGGTCATTCCATAACATGGGGTATTTCTGTTTTCTGCGTGATAGGCATGTAAGTTTGCCGGATTTGCTAATCTAACTTAGCAAGGATCGCCCTTCATAATTAGTATAAAGCCCAGTGTTAATCAGAAGTTATCTCTTTATTGGAACACCCTCACATAACATTTATCTTGGTCCACATTGGTGTCGTTTCATACATTATTCTAATTTCGTCCCTTACCTTTCATAATGAGTTATAATCGTGTTAAAATTTGTGGCCTGCCGACTAGAGAGCAGTGACTTGTTGACTCCGTATAGATTTACTGGTCATTTAAATGACACTAACGTTGTGAAAGCGATTACTATGCTATATAAGCATCTTTCTACTAATGGACACAGGTTATTGTTCGTGTTATTTAAGTCTGAGTTTCCGATTTCGCATACCAACAATCTACAGTTATCCATTTCTTATTGTTTCCTTTTCAATCCACTCGTGTATAAAACACTAAAAAGCATACTGTTAAGTATGTTATTGCTATTCTTATGAATCAGATTGTATATCTTTTGGTATGCATATTTATTCGGTCGTACATATTGTACATTTCAGTATGTATTTGTCCGTTCATCTTATACATATTTATTTGATATAAAAGCTGAACCAAACTTTAATAATGTTCTTTGTTAGCAATGGTCGAAATCCATAATACATCAATCTAATAATTCTGATCGTTTGTTTGCGTTTAACAATATATATGAAATATATGTATTTAGCTGCATTTCGTTCTGGGCATTTTTATACCATTCTTGTACCAATCGGTTTGTGAAAATATTGCACTTAAAATTTAATGAGTATATATATATATATATATATATATATATATATATATTTCAAGTGGAGTGAGATGCGCCACAAATTCTATCAGTTGGTTGACGAACAGTAAAAGTACGTATGTGAAAACAATACAAGAAGAGTTGTTAGTTTCGAGAACTGACATCTTTTCATTATTAATACTAACTGTCAAGTTAGGCTAGCTTTCATTGCTATATAACCATGTAGAATGGAGACTTCGATAATCTATCACATTTACGCGTTGATCGTAATTTGATTAGTAGTAAAACCAATAGTTGAGATCATGAGTCAATTCAATATCAGTAAGCGGGTATACTCTCTCTAATATTGTGACCTACTATTAATGTTTTAAGTAGGTTTTTGGAACTGAATTATCAATATATCTCTTTATATTTTCCACTAGTATCTGAGTTTCTCAGAAGTATGTCAGTAATTTCAAGTCGAGTATTTATTTTGGTATAATTGAGTGAATTTTGTGCAATATTTGAAATGAATTAGCATTGTTATTTTTCATGGAGTTGCAGAATATCATAAGACAAAGTCTAGCCTACAGCTGTGAAGAATTCATAGCTATGTTAAAAATATCACTTTCTGTAAACGCATTTAAGTAATTAGAAATAACAGTGAAAGAAAAATGATTACATGTTTTGTTCTGATTAGCTTAACTACAGTTTACAGTGTCCAGTTATGTTGTTCCAACGACGCAGAAGTTCTGATGAAAATCTGGAGTAGAAAACTTTCTATCTCTGATCCATACTCTACTATATTGATTTCTAGTTCATTGATTTAAAATGCTAATTTCTACTTCAGCCGATTACTATCAACTTCCTCCTGAAAAAGGTAATAAAATTCATTTTTTTCAGCTAACCTAAATTATTTCTGGTCTTCTTTTTCATGAGATTCATATTAGTGAATTCCGTTTCGGTAACGGTTAGGAGTAAAATCCAGGACGCATGTTTTATCCTATTTATGATTTCTCATTTGAATGTAATTTCTTATTTAAGTACTAATGTACTGACTTACACTCGAAGTCAAGTAATCTGCTTTTAAAAAATCGTAATGTTATCTACTAGGTCACTGCAACATATATCTTTAACCATAAACTAAGATGTATGTGAACTAGCACTAACCTTGTATGTTAGTGTTCATTCCATATCATAACAAGTTTGAATGATAATTCATAAAACTAAACATACACAAATCGGTACCAGTACTCCTTTTACGAAGATTATTCATCCAAATTATACATACACAGTATTTAAAATAAGTATCATGTTGGTTCTTGTTAAAAAAACAACCGTCTATAAAACTGAATACTTATTGATTATATAAGTGATCAGTGTGATGTTGACTAATCTCTTTAAGTTCAAACAATAAATAGAATCTGTATAACTACAATTTTGTCTGTTAAGAAAGGTGAGCTATAGTTTGGAAAAGCTACATGAATCGATCACTAAGTAATAACTAATGTAGTGTTTGTCTAGACCTTAGTGCTAATTGAATTCTACCCATCAATTTCTGATATGGTCGCTAGTTTAAGTGACTTAACATGGGTGCACTATGTTTTTAATGTTGAGTAGTTAAGCGTAGTCGTCAGGATACCCTGAAACTAAGTTTAGGGCTTGTAAACACTCATCAGCAAAGGGTTGTCTGTAATCTCAAGGGTAATCGTATTCCTAATGGGATTCAAACCAGTGTCAACCAGCTTCGCAGTTTGAGACGCCATTTTGGCTGCTATCCAAGTAGATAAATCACCCGACTTCCGGCAAACATATTGTTATTTCGAACATCTTAACACTTATTTGAGTTAGGAAATTCGAATCGTTATACTATCAATTCTCTCATATTCACCATACTTGCGTCACATAGAGGTAACTTTCTCCATTTGAATTTCATAGAGCAGTGATTAAATATATGAAATACTTGACTTTTAGCTCTTTGATAGTAATAACGAATTCTACTCCAACTACATGAAGCTGTTTAGTACATTTATTCTAAAGAGGTTTATCTTAGATCCAAGTATGTGAACCTGTTCAATGTGAATCAAGTACACAACAACCAACTGATTAATGGTTTGCTTTATTTTATAACCCTATATTATTTTGACATTTGCCCAATAACCAATGTTATTACTAAGTACAAAGAACGAGCTATCTGAACTCATTTATTTTGTAGATAACGAATCGGCACTTCAGGTAGCGTGAACTGGGTTCGAAACTTGAAGTAAACATAAACACTTGGATGAACTTAGATCCAACTGACTAGTTACAAATCAGACGAAGCACATTCCCTTGGTTCTACTGCTAGTAGCTACCTTAAATACAAAAGCCTTCTAGGTTATAGAGTCCAGAATAATAGGCAGAGATATTTTTTCAATGACTGAATTCCCATAGCTGTACAATCATAAGAATATGATAGATTTCATTAACGAGATGATTTTCATCGAGAAACAAAATCAATTGGAAAATCACTGAAAATTAAGAAACATTTGAAGTTAGTTGATTTATCTTCGATTTTGAATTAAGTTATCAGTTTAGAAGTCATCTATATATTTACGTTAGAATATTATTTCTAGTGAGTTTTAATCTAATTTTAGGTAAATAGCTAAATGGGTGTAGTTATGAAATGAAAACAGAAAAAACCTATTTGGTGGACGTAAACAAAGTGGGATTAACCTTAAAGTTTATATGAAGGTTGTACTAGACGACTGATAATTAAAAATAACCAATCAACACTGAGGTCTACAGGAAAAGTTGTGAGCCATATATGGAGAAAATCAAACACTTCAATTCTATCTAAAGCTTGTGCTGATGATGTCGTTCAAAATAACAATGAAAGCCCCACGACTAAACCATCCAGCTCAGAGAACAAAACTTCATCAAATTCTTTGATTATTATTACAATTGCACATTTCATACTTAGAAGTCCTAATTACTGTTAATTTAACATGGGCTTTATCTTTACTTTCATACTAATTGTTATCGAAATCACCTTGTTCATCTTAATGATTAATTACCTCACCAGTTATATAAATTCACTCCGTATAAGTTTATCTAAAACAATATTCGGTCGATTTCTTCATCACAACTCACATACAGATTGATTTTTGACAACTTATTTCATATTTAGATTTATACCATGAATGTATCAATGTTAGATTACCATGGAAAACTTAGAAGCGTTGGATGGCCGTTTCGTCCTATTGTGGGAATCCTCAGTAGTGAGCGTACACGATCCCGCCCGCTACGAGATTCGAACCCAGGACCTATCAGTCTCGCGCGCGAGCGCTTAACCATTAGACCACTGAGCCGGCATTCCACAGTGTTATTGTTTAACTTTAACCAATTCACAAAATTGAGCAACCCATTCATCATTATCTTCAGTGAGTTACTATCTCTCGACCCATTTGAAATCCATTACTTCTCACTAAAACTCTAGGAAATACCTTTTGAAGCCAGTCACTAGTGAGCATATGTTGATTAAGATCAGAAGGGGTTTTTGTGGATATTATCGTAATTTCAATAGTTTAGATCATGAGTCAATTGAGACTGTTAAGTCCTGGGTTTGAATCTTACGAGGTGGGATCGTAGATGCGCACTTCTGCTTAGGAGTCCTACAATAGGACGAAACGGCCTTCCGATGCTTTTAGGTTTTCCATGGTGGTGGTCTAGCTTCAATCGACTCATGATCTAAACTATTGAAATTACAATAATATCCACAAACAAAACCCTTCTGATAATAATTAAATAAGTTTATTATAATACATTAACCTAGTAATGTATGATCATATGTGTTTTGTACCAATTAACCTTTTAATGTAAAATCATGAATTCATTAATTTACATAATGAATAAAATTTAAAATAGGAAGAGAAAATTGAAAACAAAACATTTCATTAATAGTGTAAGAAAATAAATAAATATGCAAGTCTATTTATATACAGTTATGTGTAACAACACTTACTCTTCAACTACACAAGCCATTGATAAAACTCATTCAGTCTATTATACACCAAATGTGATAAAGTTATGGCATGAAATACATAGAAACCACATTAACACCCCTTATATATGTGTATCATAATAGAATATGTAGATAATTTCTAACAAATAATTTTATAAGAAACAATAAATCGATCGATGTATCCCAATCTATAATTGTAGCATTGTCAGCTATTGTATGCCATACTTTTGGAAATGGTAATGGAATTAAATGTAGTACAGGGACACCTATATTAATAATGTAGATGAAAAATGTCATATATATATGTATATAAAACAGGAATTATTTTATTGAAAATATAGAGTTTCATTATAATTCTTTTATCATAAATCTAAAAGATATCTCATGGTTGGTTACAATGATTTAGATTATTTTAACACTTATCATACTCAGTTTGATACCTTAATTTACATTGAATTGTTTTGCATGTTAATGTCACTATTTTCAGAACGATTGATGTCTTATTAGATATCAGATATATTCAAAATTAGTTAGTAAAACATTGATATAGTTCGCAAAGATTATGGGAAGTTTTGTGACTCGGTTACTATCTAAGAATTTCGACTGTTCACATAGTTTTCATAAATCTTGTTGAGGATGCTTTCAGGAATCTCTCTGATAGGGATGAATTCCATCATGATTTGCAGTGCAGGTGAAAAACAGTTCTGTTTATCGAAAGGTGAGGAGTAGTATACAGTGGTTTCCTCTACATTGCTGCTCAATTTTGAAACTGTTCTTTGGTCCGACTCATGTTTCTAAGTAGTAGTTAGTAATAAGTAACAAAGAGCTTGTGAATTGGTTAAATTTCTCAGAATAAATCACCACAACGAGACAAAATTAACCAAATAAGTGACAAAAAGATTCAAAATGTATGGTGAAAAAGATATTAAGATAATGGCTTGGGAACAAGAAATAGAAAGAAAGTATGTATAAATGCAATTTTGAGATTTTAGATATAGAGCAAAATAAAGAGCGCCGATATAAGATCAATTCTAAACCCAAGCTGGAGAATCGTGAACTAATAAGAACTCAAGGTTATTAGTGTTAAGACAAATTTTGACTGTTGTTTTTGTCAGAGGAATTTAGTCAGCGGCCATCAGCCATAACAAGCAGCCAACATAACTAACCTTTTTTTACAAATGGTATATGATCATCTTCAATCTGGTATTGAACACTATGGCCAAAATAAGGTAGATTATTTTCACCTGATGATTTCAATAGATTAAAAGATCTCATTCTCCTTTCTATTAAATACAAACAAAACGAATTAAAGAGAATGTAGGAATCAATGCTAAGGATGAACTTGATGGTTTCAAATAAATCGAGCTTGTCGAATATATTTCCCCCTCCCAAACTTCGACTTCTCTTTAGTTAGCGGGGTTGGGGCGCGTCGGAATAGCTAGCTTATTGGTCTTTGTGTCACAGAGTATTCGTCCTGTTCTCAGATTACGTGAACTCGTAATCTCTTTAAACATAGCATATAATCAACACAGGTTTAAACAGTACGAAGAAACTATTTAAACTTCTGTTAATTTTACCTCGTGGTTTACATTATGTCATGAAACTTCAGAAATACAATTTTCTACTCACTGCGATATCACGAAAATATACTTATTATTGAATTGAAGAAAAGCTTATATACATATGATATCAAATCCATTATGTGTGAATTGGTTTTTATCTCACTAAATGAATTTCTTGTCTGGTGGTTAACCAATAAATGTAAAAACTGTTTTAGTTTACATTCTCAAGTGTTAGTAAAATTCCATAAACAAAATAAACACGATAGAGGAAGCTACTAGTTAATTTACTAAATAGTTACCATGAGAGGAATTTCATGTAGTTTTGTACATTGGTTATAGTGGTTAAAATAATCGCATTTCGAATTACAAGTTTGAATCTCACTTCATCTACTTCAGTTTGGGCATTCGGGTAGTTTGACTAGCCATCGTACTCATTTAATCCGGATTATTAAATGCAGCAATCTAAGTTTGAGGGTGAAGTAGAACTGCTGATTCTGTTGGTTTGATACCAGCAAGTCATCTCCTTCAAACAATCAACGCCTGCAATGATGTCATTCGACAACGGAAGAAGGGGTTTAGACAACGTCCTCCTTAACAATAGTACACATCACCTTGACCCACGGATTACGGTTTTCAATGAACAGGCCACTAAAGTATGGAGGTAACACGTTAATAACTACGAAAGAAAACACCATATGTAATCAGTCTCAAAAAATTGTCCTTTGAAAACTGGAGTTACGCTTAGAGGTCACTACAACCACTACTAATCCAGTTTCCTTTTCAAGTCTCTTAAGAAGTAATATCCTTTCACGGTGAGAAAGAATGGGAGTCGACAACCACCTTCACACATTTAACACTACCTGAGATCACGTTCACAATTAAATCCTTTTATCACTTCTTAACAGATGTCTAAAGCAAAATACTTCGGACCCACTGGCCAGACACTATCAGCAACAACCTACTATGGAAGAGAACAAACCAGATCCCAGTGGAGGAAGAAATCATGAAGAAGCGATGGAAGTGGATGGGACACACATTGAGGAAAGCACCCAACTGCGTCACAAGGCAAGTGCTCACATGGAATCCTCAAGGCCAAAGGAAAAGAGGAAGACCAAAGAACACATTACGCTGAGAAATGGAGACAGAGAGACATGAGAAGAATGAACAACAATTGGATAGAACTAGAAAGGAAGGCAGAGTGCGACAGTGTGTTGGAGAATGCTGGTTGGCGGCCTATGCTCCATTGGGAGTAACAGGCGTAAGTAAGTAAGTAATCATTTCTTAATATTCCTCTTTTCCCTATCTTTCTCCGATAACTTAATCTTTGTTCCCACAATCCATCCCATACTAAAATAAAGTGTAGCTCAAATTTATTTATATAAACTTGTACTTGTTCAGTGAGTTGTATAAAACAAAACATTTCTATGTGTTCATGAATTATACAAAATTCAATATTCAATTTACTAGTTAATCATTAAAATGATTATTAACTTTACCTTTAATATAATCGGAGTAGATCTTTAAAATTATGTGTTAATTAATCGATTTTATCAATTAACTCATTCATTTTTCGTCATTGCACTATTTTATACATTGTTCATTATTATATCAAAAAATTTGTTGCGAACTGAACTCTTATAATTATGAAAAAGTTGTTAACTCAGTGGTTTAAAATAAGGGTAAACTAGTTTACGGATAGCTATAAGTTCGTATATATATTATTTTAACACATAGATATTTATACAACGAGGCACCAAATACATTTGCGCCACACAGATCTCGTTTGATATGTGTGCGGGCTGTGATACTGCTCGGGTGCCCAAACAGAAGCAGGTGGTTTTCTCAGGGGGCCACACCCCGAGCCTTTGACCTGAAGGTCTGATCCACAAGGCAGTAGAGCATGGTAAGGAGATGCAGTCTGATGGTAGCCGATGACCAACAATTGGTTCATACGCCATATGTTCCTTTAGGATACTGGAGCCCATGTGCACCGTTGATTTGTGATCCGATTAAAGCGCCGGACATTCGCTTTTCGTCCTCTCATTTTTGTAAACAACAGTAATGCCACGAGAAGGTAGTGGGGACTTCCCTGGCAGAGGCTATATACGCGTGGCCATGTGAGAGCATTT